GGTGTCCTTGGCAGTGGTGACAATATCCAATTTGATTGTGTTTTTAACTGTTTATGGGCCATTGGCTTTTTTTTTTTTTATTCTATGTAATTTACCTTTTTGGGCATGATTTGGCTGGAATTCTTTTTATATTTTATAATATTTCAGTTTTTACTTTTTGTACTGGTTGTTTGGTGCAGATAGCCTTGTTGCTTTGTGCCAAAAACTCCAAACAACCTATACCTGCATTTTATGGGAACTTTGGCTTTTCTGCTGGACATCAGTATACTTGAATACCACATGTTCTGTTGTCTAAGCTGACAAAGCAAGGGAGCTTAGTTTGGCTTAACAATTATGATGAAATTCATGAATGAATACAGATATTTTTTTTACCACATACCTCTTATTCCTTTGCAGATTTCAGTTTCATATGGATAGTTGGTACAGGTATCCCTAGTCATGTTATAATTAAAATTTATTTTCCTTTTTATCCCATATAATTCTAAAAGAATTGGGTTGTAGCATTGTCTTTGTATTTTAAATGGATGAGTGATTGACAGTGAGAAATTATTCATTCAATTCCTAGAAGGGTATTTTTGTTGTTTTTCAAAATTTGCATTGCATACTAGAAGGATTTAGACATTTTGACTAAGGGGGGAAAAAAAGTAACTTAATTCTCTAGATGATGATAATAATAACTTTTTCAGCCAACATTTTGCCATTGCAGCTTCATCAGGATAGTAGTACACAAACTTTTGGAGAAAATAAAGTTCAAGTCTTCAAATAAACATTTATTTTCACATCAAACCATTTTACTACTACTACTCCTGATGAAGCTGCAGTAGCAAAATGTTGGCTGAAATAAAGTTTTTATTATTATTTGGAGAGTAAAGGTAATTTTTCCTAATATTATTGTCAAAATGTTCTAGAATGATAGGAAATGACTACTTTACAGTCTACTTATTTATTTCTCCTTCCTTCTTCTACACTTCTTGATTTGCCATTTCTACTTTAGTTCTTCCTTACCATTTGCATTCCTGTCTTTTAATCTCTTTACTATATATATATTTTGTAAAAGCCTTTTTAATGTTAAAATCAATTTTATGATATACATACATATATGACCATAAAACATGCAAGATACATTTTTCTCTTTAAATCATAAGATTTTTATTTTACTGAGTCAGTTCAAGTTTTGTATGTAATGAATATTAGATTAATCCAATAATGAACTTGGTGTGTTTTACATTATGACAGACCAACATTCCGTTTTTGCTCAATGTTTTGGAGAATGAAAATTTCCTAGCTGGAACAATTGATACATGTTTCATTGATGAGAACCCTCAGTTGTTCAATATTCAACCTAGCCAGAACCGTGCACAGAAGCTTCTTTACTACCTTGGTAGTGTTATGGTTAATGGACCCATGACACCTCTTTCTACACCCCTAAAACCTTCTGAAATTGAGATATCAATTCCAGAAATTCCTGCAGGTAACATACAGTATTGATTGTTAAGTGCTTCTATTAAACATAAAACTAAGTATATAGGTCAGAATAAAAACAGTCAGTCAGAAATTAAGCCAATTCTATATAACAAGTTGACCAGAAGTATTTAATGTCATGGGTCAAAGTGCAAGAAAAATAAAACATATAATGGTTAATGTTCCTCTTTGTTAACTTGACAGTGAAAATTCTTAATAATGTATATATTTCAGTTTTTGATTTGTAATTTCCCAAATATATTTCAAACTCAGTTATGTTTGTTGTCAATGTGGCTAAATAACTTTGTGGAAGTAATATTGTTATTACCTACCTGCATAATGTGAAATCTTAGTGTTTAACAGTAATATAACTAATTCATGGGAAGTAACACAAACAAATCTTAGAACAAAGTTTTGTCAGTTTTTACATGTAAGTAGTGATGTGTAAGTATTTCTTTGCATATGATGTATCTAAATGGATGCTATATATATATAGGATCATTAAGAAAAACTTTGCATACTATTTATTTTTCATAAGGTGTTACTGTTATTTTCTTGTTGTTATATCAGGCAGGCAGCTGCACTGCCTATGTAGATTTAGTTGTTTTTGAAATAGTTTGACTAAAAACCCTGTGTGTGTGAGAGAGAGACAATAAAATTTAACATAATTTCTAATTTTTCTCTATTAAAGATTATATTTCTTACTCTTGAGATTCAAGTTGTTACCATTTACCTTATAATTTTGTAACTATAGCAGATTAGCTGTGTTAACCTATAATCTAGCCTGTAACATGTTCTTATAAAGTGTTTGTCATTACTTTTATTGGAACTTTTATACTTTCAAAGTGTTTGCAATAAAATCATAAAATATCTTTATATAGTGCTTTTCTTCATTATTATACTTTCATGCATTTTAGGTTTTGTTTATGGTGATAGTCTTGGTATGTTTTATGATTTAAATATGTGAATTTTGTATAAGGTGTGAAGCCTCCAATTGGGTGGAGAGAGATTCTTCTTAAAGAAGGCCCTACTAGTTTTGCCAAAGCTGTTAGAAATCATAAAGGTACTCTACTCATGGATACCACTTTTAGAGATGCTCATCAGTCATTACTTGCAACACGGATACGCACCCACGATATACTGAAGATCTCACCTTTTGTGGCACATAACTTCACCAATTTCTACAGCTTGGAGAACTGGGGAGGTTAGTCAAAACCATACCAATTACATTTGTTGAAAAAACAGGTGGAAGAAATGGTCAGTTTTTAAAATAACTTTTATTATAAAAGCCTTATAGAATTAATTTGTCAGGCTAACAAACTTTCACTTAAAAACAAAACCACCACTGTTGATTTAGCTTTTTCGTCTATTTCCAAAAATAATTGGATGTACACAGGTAATTGTCAGATTTTGTATGAAAGATAGAAGAGCAAACTGTATTGCATTATCAATAGTGTTAATACATTAATTATAAAATTTACATTCCTCAAGTGGTGCACAATGTAGTAAGTGATTTTTTTTTTTTTTAAACAACAGTTACGTTGGTCTGGTTAAAAGAAATTTAAAAAATGCACTCAAAACATGTATAACCAAAACACCGGTAAGATTCACCTGTGGATACGATTAACAAAACTGTTCAATTCTTTTCTCGTTTATTAATTTCTCCAACTGTTTCATGGCTTTCAAGGTCACTGTTTAGATATAATTTTACTGAGAATCTATAAAAAAACATACAGATAGAATTTTTCAAATAAATATAAGTAATCTAAATTAAATATTTTCCAAATGTACAAACATAAAACACACTCCATTTATAAATTAAATACATTAAAAATCCTCAAAAATTATGGATAAATTTACATAAATTCCATGTTAGATGTCCCGAAAGGCCCACTGTATATCAGCAAACATTTTAATAAATGTATTTTGAGAATTTTGTTTTCCCTTTTTGTGCATTTAATGTAAAAACGTAAAAGATTATATTTTGAAAATTCTGTACAAATGTTTTTGGCACCACTTTAAATAGATAGTAGTGAGAGGGCTGAAGTAACTGGTTGTGTAAAGTCAGTAGTAATTGTAAGACCTTAAAAATTGATACCAAGACTTAATTACTTTTTTGTGTTTTCTGTAAGTAAGAGTGAAATTATAGAATAGATAAATTGCATTTCTAAAATAAAATAGGAAAGTATATTTATTGAGTTTTATTTATTTTTGAGCATTTTTAATGTACTTATACATTTAGTGTATTATATGTTTGTACGTTTGAAAAATATTTAATTTAGATTATTTATGTTTATTTGAAAAATGGTAGTCGTATATTTTTTGTTATAGATTCTCAATAAAATTATACCGTAAAGAGTGACCTTTGAAAAAAGTCATCAAACTAGTTGGAGAAATTAATAAAAGAGAGAAAAAAAATAGAATAGTCTCATATTCCAGTGTTTTCTTGTACATATGAAATTATCCTGGATTTTTACAAGATTTCAGTATGAAAGTAACATAAGTGTTAGTAAAATTTTGCCTTATTTTATAGGAGCTACATTTGATGTAGCCATGAGATTTCTCCACGAGTGTCCATGGGAAAGACTAGAAAGGATGCGTCAACTTATACCAAACATACCATTTCAAATGTTGCTTCGTGGTGCCAATGCTGTGGGATACACATCCTATCCTGATAATGTCGTCTTCAAGTAAGTTCTGTTATGAACAATATACAACAATAATGGAGTTAAACATCTAATTTCACTAAGTGTCTGTGTGTGTGTGTTTATATATATATATCTGTATAATGTATATACAAAAACTGAACGTAGTAAATGGTAGCACCATTTCATGTTATTTAGGTAGCACCATTTCATGTTATTTAAACACCAGGCAACCTTTTGTCCATAGGCAGTTTTGGCTTTCACTAACATGGAATTTTCATTACCATTTGGGAGAAAAAATTTTTTAGGAATAAACTTTTTAATCCATATACGTTTTTGTTTTTTTTTCATCTTATTACTTGTAGAGTTGTGCATCAGAAGTTAAACGGGAGTTTTAGTTTGTTAATTTTTCTAATCCCTCGTTTATCAGGTTTTGTGAACTAGCCAAACAGTGTGGGATGGATATTTTCCGTGTTTTTGATTCTTTAAACTACCTTCCAAACTTACTGCTGGGCATGGAAGCAGCAGGAAAGGCTGGTGAGAAAAACTTCTAATCTTGCTTTAGAACTTTGGAATTATTTCCCTTTGATTTATAAAACATATTGATACAAAGGAACTTGCAGTAAGTTACATTCTCCTAACAAGATTCTCTTAGATAATGAATTGTTGTTTTCGAGCTATTCATTAAAATCATGTCAAAAAGGCTTGAATAATTAAATACACTTGGAATTAAGATACAAAAATTACAATTAATGTACTTATGTTATTTTATCTGACTTCAAATAAATGATCTCTGTAATTTGGATCCATGTGTTATATAATTAGCATTTCAAACCTCTATAAATACAACCCATACAACTACTAATACATTTTTGAGTAAAGTTCTTCAATGTATGAAAGGTAAGTTAACTACAAGAACAAAGCAAGGCTTACAGTGTATGTATATGACCCATTTATATCTCAAGCTTTATTTGCCTTATGCTGCATATCACCAACATGATCTTGAAGACTTGTAAAGTGAAAATGCTTTTACTGTTTACTTCAAATAGGTTATAAAAAGGCTTCTCAATTTGTTCTTCACAAGCAGTATAACATCAACTGATTACTTTACACTGTTTCAACAATATTGAGCTAGTCAAATACTTAATTATTTGAAAGTTGCATAAAGGTATCAAGGAATCTCTTTGTAATTATATCCACTAAGCTGACTGTGTTAAGAGAGCAGTGACCTTTAGATCAAACTGCTATTTGTTACAATCTGTGGCAGGTCTTGGGAGTTGAAATATGAATTAAATAAGTGTTATGATATGGCACAACATTAGAAAGAGAAAATATATGATTTAAGGTTTCAATTACTGATCTTTTTATGAAATAAATTAAACAGACTTATTGGTATTAATGAAATGGAGATCTAAAGATGGGTTGGTATAGTATTCAGTTTTTTGTATAGAGTAGTTGAAAAATAACTTAATTATTTAATGGTCATTGTCAGTAATGAGTATATACAAATGTTTTGTTAGAATTTGTTTTAACATCTGGATATTATATTTACATACGAACGAACACACGCACACACGTAAGAAGCATAATTTTAAAGTTTGTTATGAGGCTTTCAGTTTTTGTTGTTTTTTTCAGCACAAAAACCTAGACATGGTTCTGTTTTCTTAAACCACAGAATTAAGAGAGTTTAAAATTTTGTTCAGAAAATTTATAAACTCTACTGTGAAATAATGTAATGGTACTGTTGTATATCAATGACAGAGGATAAATACAACATAACTCTTTACTGTGGAGTATGGCTTGCTATTATCAACATGTTAGAATAAGTACGACGTAACTGTTTACCAAGTGGTACTGATGTAAGTGTGCTAGTATGAGTGGATATGGCTAGGATAAGTACAAAATAACTGTTTAGCTAGTACACTGCTATCAACATGTATGTGTGAGTGGGTCTGGTTACAGTAAAAGTTTAACCCACTGCATGTAACCAGCAACTCGAAAGTCCACCCTGTGTGATAATTTGTAAATTATTTTGAAAAAAATATTTATATTATGTAAGGGATATTGACAAAACAAATTACATTTACATAACTTGTAAGTTATTGTGTTAAAGGTGGAGTAGTGGAAGCAGCCATTTCTTATACTGGTGATGTTTCTAACCCATCAAGAAAAAAATATGATCTTGACTATTACTTGAAATTATCTGAGGAGTTGGTGAAGGCTGGTACTCATGTGTTGTGTATAAAGGTGAATATAACTTTTGGTTGTTAAGATAACGTGTACTTAAATTCTTATATTCATACCAACCTTGCTTTTCCTGAATTTTTTTCATTTGCTAATAAAAGGCACAATTGCATGGGATATATTGTTGATTTTTTATTATTATTATTGTTCTATATATTTAATGTTTGCATGACGTGTGAGAGCAGCTTCACAGTAAATAATAGACCACTTGATATCTTAGCAATTCTATGTGACACATCAAGGAAAAGATCACATGAGTTAAGATGCAGATTTCTGTCACAGTAGTTTATGTATAGCAGACGTGACTTGTATGGGTATTAAAACTTTAATTAAAATAAAGTACAAGAACAGTGTTTCAACCTTCTTAGGTCATCTTCAGGTTAACAAAGTCAGTTTGAAACTGACAGTTACTGGGCACATGTCTTAGGGACGAGAGTGTGAACAGGTACGAGATTGTAGGGGGTGTAGCAGTTAGATGTTAGGTGATTAATATAGGTATAAAGGTGTTCCTTTATGTTTAATTTTTGGTTTGAGTTCTTGTATAAGTAGGGCTTCTTTGATTTTTTGTTTGTTTGTCTTTGTTTTTCTACTTAATATGTTTGTGTTTTCTATGGTTATGTTGTGTTTATTTGTTTTATAGTGTTCAAGAATGTGGGAAGGTGTTTTTCTGTGTTCATTGAATCTGGTTTCCATTTTTCAGCTTGTTTCTCCAGTATAGAAGTCATGGCAGTTGTTGCATTGTATTTTATAAATAATGTTGATGTTGTGTGTGTCAGTGTAGTTTTTACAGTGTAGTTTTTGAACGAATATAGTGTTTATTGCAATGATATGTTTTGTTGTAAATTTTTTCCAAATGTTAATTATTTTATTGCTAATATCAGGAATATACCGTATGCAACAGTGCAAGGTTTTATAGTTAGTTGTTTCATTGAATTTATTATTGTTTGTTTGCTGTTGATTGTGTTGTTGGACTAAGTGTGTCCAATGATTTTTTTTTTTATGGTTTCGAAGGAAATTTATTGACATTGAGAAGTGTTGTTTTAATTGTTTGATTTCCTTGTTAGTTTTATCGGGTGAGCATAGTTTTGTGGCTGTGTTTATTTGGTTTCTTAATATGTTGAGTTTTTGTTTTGTTTCATGTGCTGAGTCCCAGGGAATGTATAGTCCAGTATGGGTGATTTTTCTGTGGATTTTTGTTTTGAATTGTGTATCGGTGAACTTAATGTTGGGGTGTTTGAAATTAGTGTGGTTGATAAAACTAAGTGTATGTTCTGTAGATGTAAATCCAGCAAATATATCATCAACATATCTGTACCAGTATAGTGGTGGGTGTAAGGCTGAATTGATTGCTTGAGATTCAATCTGTGGCATGAAAATGTTGGCTAGAATTGGTGACACAGGCCCATACTTAAGCCATTTATTTGTATAGAATTTTGGTTGTTGAACATGAAGTTGGTTTTGGTGGTAGTGAATTTTAGAAGAGTTGCTAGTTGGTTGCTGTGGATGTGTATTAATGGGTTGGGGTCTTGGATATAAAGTTCTAAAGCTATCTTGCAGGCTTCAGAAGCTAGGACTTCAGTGAAAAGGGAGATTACGTCAAAACTGGCCATTAAGGCTTTATGGTTTAGTTGATCCAGAATAGATGTAAGAGTCCTTAAAAAAGGATCCTGCTGATGTTACATATGTAGAAAATGTCCACACTATGTATTTACCAAGGTTGTAGTTAAACGATTCATGTGCCGACATTATGGGTCGTAGTGGACGACAGGGTTTGTAAGGCTTGGGGGTGCCTTACAGTTTTGGTGTGTGGGAGCCAGTCTTACGTAGGTAGGAATAAAGGTTTTCTAAGACTGTATTGCTTTTTTGTTTGTTTTTTCAATTGTAGTAGATTTTGTTTAGCTTTTTTTTGTGTGTTTTTGTTGGATCTGTGAGTATTGGCTTGAATTTGTTTGTATCTGATAGGATGTCATTCATTTTTTAAATGTACTCACTTGTGTTCATTATTACAATGGCATTGCCTTTATCTACATTTAGAACTTTTATAATGTTGTCTTGTTTTAGGTTGTTTATAGAATTAATATATTTCTGTGTAAGGTTTCTTTTTTTTTTTTAGCTCTCTTTTTTTCTGTGAAATTATGTTGATGGTTTTGTGTGAGATTTCTTTGAAAATAGATGTTTTCAGTTTTACCTGGAAAGATAAGTTGTTGGTTATCAATGGAATTGGTGTTGATGTTATCTTCTTTCTGGTGGCTGTTTTCCGTAGTTTTGTTGGTATTTTTGGCCTGTGTAGAAAGGATCACAAAACTGGGCACAAAACTAAAATCCACAATATGTAAAAACTACACTGACGAACATAACAAGCTGAAAAATGGAAACCAGATTCAATGAACACAGAAAAACACCTTATAGCAATGTAGTAGTTATTTTGGAGACAGTGTTATTTTTCTAACAGAGTAGTTAACCTCTGGAATGGGTTACATTCAGATATGGTAGATGCAGTAAATTTAAGGGAGTTGAAGAGAAGATTGATAAAATTTTATATAAGGACTGGCTTTGAATTTTCCCTTTTTTTTTATAGCTTTAGTTTTATAAATGGAACAGCTTAGCTGGACCAACCAGTCCCTTGTTGTCTGTACATTTTGTTACATGTTTATGTAACCTGAATAATATAGAAATCATAATTATGTATTTCACTGTATAATCTGACTAGGGTCAAAATATTTATTTCTAGACCTTCTGTTCTTAGATGCAGTACCTCCTATTGAAGTTCCAGGAAGAAACATTAATTAACAAATAACAAACATTGAACAGCAATCACTAATAAACATCAATCTCTAATATGCAACTATCACTAACTTATTCTATTCATACCTGTTTCAAGATGATTAATCTTGACTAGATAGATAAGAAGTTTCTATACTGAACACCTATTTTTTTGTTTTTTCAAAGCAACACTGAAAAAGTAGTAATATCCACATATGAGAATTTGAAGTAACAACTTCTTGCATATTATATATGATACTGACGTATGTGTATAAGAAGTACAATTACAACAAGGTAAAACTATTTTTACACCTCATGATACATCTATTATTATTAAGATCAGTAATTGTCTTCTTTATACACCAAATGTTTTAGGATATGGCTGGTCTGCTGAAACCCCGAGCTGCAAAGTTGCTAGTTTCAGCTCTCAGAGATCGTCATCCAGATATTCCCATCCACATTCACACTCATGACACTGCTGGAGCTGGTATTGCATCCATGTTAGCTTGTGCTGAAGCTGGAGCTGATGTTGTAGATGTTGCTGTAGATTCCATGTCAGGCATGACTTCTCAGCCAAGTATGGGAGCTTTTGTTGCCAGTTTACAGGGATCAGAGTTGGACACCAGTAAGTGAGTCTTGATGACAATTGAACATTACATTCTTATAGTGACTTAAAATGAAATAAGAACATGTATAAAACTTGTGTTCATAAGTTGGAGAGATGTAAAGAACAGGAACTTCTGAATTCTGTTTAAGCTCTTTGATATTTAAAACCGGTACTTTTTGTACTCTTAAGTTTCTTTTATTAGATAAAATAGCATAAATGAAAAATAACTGGAGGAATATTTTTTTAACTCTTTGTCATACAGATAGATCTACTTTTATTAAGTTTTATGCAGTTTTTTGGCAAAGTTTTTGAATATGTAAAAAAAAAAAAAAAAAAAAAATATCTTTATTTGAGTTTCAATCTCTTGAAGTGGAAATATGTATATACTTTCTTTAATTTTGTGGGCTTTTTGTTTTTTAATCCCTACTTTGAAAGCATGTAATAGAGGCCGGGTAATTAGTTGTTACTCATGATTTATTCATTGTACATAGGTTATTCTCACTCTCACAAAAAAGAGCTACTTATCTTTAGTCATCTTCTCGTGTCCAATCAAAGAGAAATTAGAACCCAATTGAAAGCAGACCTTCATTAGCATTGCTGTCCTATTTTTTATTCTTTTTCCAATCTAGTACATGCTTGTGCATTTCTTTTGAAAAGCCATTTATTTTGTTTGTGTAGATGTAGTAAGTCTACCAGAGCTGTGCATTTGAATTTATTGATGAATTTAATGATAACTTTAAGACATAAGGTTTGCCTTAGGAAAATGCAAACTGACCATGAGAAAAAAGTAAAATTTGGCTTTATTACATGTTTGGCTAGTAAAAAAGACATATAGCTTCATAATTATGTAAAAGAAATATCTTAACAAGAAATTCTTAGCTATTAATTGAGTATGAGGATAGTCATGTAGGAACTCTTTGTCTATTGTGTGACTTATTTTTTGGTAGCTACTTGGCTTCTCCAATGGATTAAGTAAAATACACACAGATGTAGACAATTTCTTTAGTCTGTATCTGTCAATTTTGTAAGAAGATATAGTTTGAGAATAGATTGAATTATTAGAACTCTGAAATAATTTTAATCTTTACCAATGTTTCTAGAATGTAGTTTTATTTCATGATCTATTTACGACTTCTTTTTTACCCCCTACTCATCATGTGTTATACAGGAGCTGTATATAGAGTTGAACTTTAGTAGTATGTTTGCCTGTGCAGTTTCTAAATTGATTATAAACTAATTCTTAAGGATTGTTGGTTGAGTGCCAAGTATTAGGATAGTTTTTAAATACAGCTTTATGTTAGTATTGTACTGTACTATTACTACAGCACATGATGCTTAGAGTAACTATGAAGCCCATAAATGGCCATGGTCAATGATTTAGTATTATGAATCATTGTTGCAAGTTTAACCCTTTCAGAATGATATCATTTTTAAATTAATTTCTATGTGTGTTGATGAGTTACATTCAGAATTTAATTAAACAACTTTATATCAACAAAATTAGCATTATAATGTATGTTATAATTTGATTTTTATGTTATCTAAATTTTAATTCCTTAGTATCAAAACGAACGTTAAAAAATACTTAAACTGCAGTCTTCTTGTCATGTGATCCATGCACTGTGAAAAATCTTCACTATAGCAGGAGCTGAACATAAACACATAAGCTTGCAATGTATATCAAATGTGTAGACAGCAGTGTACATCTATGTCCTCTTTTGACATGTAAGATACAAAGTCTCGCAACTGTATTCACTGGGAAAGAGATAAATTTTCCAACCCTTCATGAGTGCCATGCCCACCTTCCATACTTTGCCTTGAGATCTACAATGTACATGTAGTTAGTTGACACAATTGTATATAGTTGTTAGAAAGAGCTCAGTTTACACTATACTTCACCAATGGTTAATTTAAAATTGGCGCTCAGTTTGTGGCTTGAAGTAGATGTAACTGGTGTTAGTATTGTTGTCTGCTTCATCAACTTTAGCACTTATGGTGGTTTATTACATAAATATGCTATAGTTAGAGAGACAGTTAAACTGTATTTAGATCTCACTTTTATATTTTAGTTAGTTATTATTTGTTTTAAAAATCTTATTTGAATGGTTTAATGATTTTTAAAAGTTTAATTGTTGCCTGGATTGTGAAAGCTTTATAAATGCATAAGCACATCTTGTTTTGGCAATGCTTCTCTGAGGGAAATATGCCAAAATAACTTTATAAAGGCCCACTGGCATCAGTTGATGTATTGGCATAGATAAAGACAAAGAATTTGAAAGGAAAATTGAAAATATACTATAAGTGAAAAGATAAAGATGTGAAATTATACATATATGAAAAAGACTACAATTCTGTGAAGAGTTGAAAAGTATGTACATATTTCTATTTGTTAATTTTCAACATATCATTGCACTGTATGTTGGTGATAGTAGATAGTTAGAAACATCGTAGAGAAAATGGAAAATAAAGTATAAACGTTTACCTTAAGAAAACTTTTGATATTCCTTTATGAAATTCTAGAGACTATGCAAATGAAATGCGAAAACTGTAAGATAAAAATAGTATTCTTATACTTCGTATAAAAATCACTTTGCATGTGAACTATTCAGAGTTCGAATGCAACTAACAACATGAAATAACGAACTTTTATTAGAAATAGTAGAAAGACTAAAAAATTATCTATTTTTCTGAAACTACATGCCTTTAGGAATGATCAAATTTCAAACAATTTCTCCACTATTTTTATTTCTGAAAGATATTTCACAAGAGTTGCATAATTTTCTTCTGATCAGTGTTCACCATTTCTAAAGGGGTTGAGCTGGTATTTTGCAACCCCCCACTAGTCTTTCACTTGTGTTTTAGTAATTACTGGTGATGTGTACTTCCATAATAGTTTTTGGGTATGGTATTTAGCAACTCCCACTAGTCTTTCACCTGTGTTTTAGTAATTACTGGATGATGTGTGCTTCCATAATAGTTTTTGGTTACCTTTATTGTAGTACTTACTGTTAAGATCATACCACTTGTACCTTTGTGAAACCGAGTTTTTTGTTTTGTTTGTTTGTTAAGTACATTTTTTTTATGGTTTCATGAATTCACCATTGTTTCATGATACAAAGTTAATCACCTGCTCATAGTTGATGCTATGTTCTTGATGTTATGAAATAGTTATTGAACAGGCTTGTGATTCTTGCAAGTAGCTTGTTCAAAAGAATATCAGACAGTTACATTTTTGACGTGTGTGTGCTTTCATTATTTAATAAATAAGTATTTGTTGTACTTTTATATAAGTTACAAACAAATAGCCTACAAGCATTCATTCTGTACACTAAATCCCCATGGGTAAATCAGGATAAGAATTTTTTTTTTTCTCACAAAACATCTCGCATTTTAGGAAAACTGTCATTAATATGTAACATTTTATTTCTCCAAGTGTTATTTTGGTAATCATGTGTATCTGACTCTTTTCTAGATATTGATCTCCGAACAATCAGCAAGTACTCAGCTTTCTGGGAGCAAACACGCACCTTGTATGCTCCATTTGAATGTGCAGTCACCATGAAAAGTGGCAATGCTGATGTCTATGAGAATGAAATTCCTGGTGGCCAGTATACCAACTTGCAGTTTCAAGCTTTCAGTCTAGGGCTAGGTGACCAGTTTGAGAAAATTAAGAAGACTTATGCAGAAGCCAACAAACTTCTTGGTGACATTATCAAAGTAATTTTTCTGATTTGTATAAGATGTTTAAAACATTTAGTTGTTAAAATCAAAACAATAGTGTAAATGCAATGTATAGAAAAGGTATCAAAATAACTGTTGGAAATCAGTGTGATTTGTGTAATTGTTTATTTTTCTAGCTAAGGTATTTATCTAAAAGCATTTAATATGAATATCTGCATAATTTCTTACTTAATGAAAAAGAAAATGCATTTTTTTGTCTTTTTTTTTAACATAGTGATTATGTTCAGTTAATGTATTTATACCATGCTTGGGTTTACAATTGACTAATTTTTATCTTCACTGGTATCATAATAACACAAATTGTTATTCAGTTACTTTTAGTTCAACAAAATACTACTTAAAAATGCATAAAGGTCAATAACTTCATGTGTAATATTACATTACAAGACTTATTGGGTCAAAATGATTTTGTCAAGCTAAACAGCTTAGAAATTTCTAGATATCTTCTTAAAAATACAATGATTTTTATTTTGTTTTTTAGTTTCAGAAAGGTGAACATAAAAGATTTAACAGGAGTGTAGTAAATGTGGTAAAAAAAAAAACTCTCCAAGTTTCATCTGTTGCATTAAAAAAAACTTGTTTATTCCATGCTTTGCAGAATGCCTGAGAAAATACTTTTATGTTAAAAAGAAAAAATCTAAAATCATGTATTTTCATAGATTTTATACAATAAATACATTTGCCAACCCAATTATTTTTATGTTATATTCTATAGAAAAAGGTATTTTATTTCAAAATTACCATTTTAAATCACACAGTGCATTATGTCTGTTTTAATTTTATAATATTCAAGTATAAAGGAATAATTAGTCACTTTAAGGAAAAAGTAGTTGTGGTCAACTTTTTGGCCAGACGACTTGTTAGGACCAAGTGAAGGTCATTTTCTAGGATGTTCATGATATAATTCTTTTCCATTACAATGATTTTATCATCAGGTTTTATCATAGCTGCTTCATTGTTCAGGTTTTGTGTCAGTTCAATATAATACCCTGCACAGCTATCAGTAAACTTGAATGATTTATCCAGTTAGTAAAAAAAAAAACTTGTTGACAAGAAATAAAGAACAAGTATATATAACCAGTACCGCTTGTTGACAGAACAGAATATGAACAACTTTTTTTTTCTTCAACTTTTTTTAATTAGGTGACTCCTTCATCCAAAGTTGTTGGTGATCTTGCACAATTTATGGTCCAGAACAACTTAACTGCCGAAGAAGTGGAACAAAAAGCAGAAGATTTGAGTTTTCCAAGTTCAGTGATTGAATACATGCAGGGCTACATTGGAGAGCCTCCTGGTGGTTTCCCAGAGCCACTACGCTCCAAAGTAACTGTGTATTTTAATATACGGAATTATTTACAGAACCGAATGCTAGTTTCATTATTGATGTTAATGAATAAACTTCTTTCTAGCACTAACTTTTCCTGCTGATAGTGATATGTTATTGTTATATCCGCACTACTTGCTTAATAAGAAGCTACTTATTACTAAGAAAATTGATTTAATCAATAAAATAACATTTATAAAGCGTAAACAATTAATGATCGTTGAACTAAGCAAATTATCACAGTAAGTTTTTTGTCCAGTCAGACTAATTTTATACTTTATTAAAAATAAATCAAAACAGAAACTTGTTCATATAATACATGTGTTGAAATAACAGCACCAATTCAAGTACATGATTAAAAAATTAAGTTAATTAGTCTTACAACTAAACTTACATGATGAATCTTTGTTTTATACCTTTGTCCTATCTATTTTATTGATTCCATATAGCCTATTATATAAATAAAAAACTAACTATTATAAACCTTGTAACTTAGTTGAATATACATTTTATTTAATAATTATTAAGATTATTGGGAAATAAAAATAACTACTTATAAGCTAATAAATTACAAATAAGAATTACTGTGAAAAATACTTGGGCCTACTATGGTAACCCTAAAATATATAATGTTTTATAACTGTAGTATCATGGTGCCAAGAGTTTCTAGTATAATTTTAGTTGGCCACAGTATCAAAGATAGTGTGATGTAGCTTGTTGCAGTGTGGCCACAGCATCAAGAATGGTTATGCTGTCACTTGCTGCATTGTCAAGGGTGAAAGTTTTTAAATTGTTCAATTGATTTCTGGAGGCTTGTGCATAACGTAAACTGACCAGTTGGTTGTGTTGTACCATGTCTCACTGTTAATGCTTTAAGATGTGGGAAGGAAATTACACATTTCGTTAATTATAGCATATATGATACAAGAAGCAAAATAAAAGTTTAGTGTTTTCAGATATGGCTATTCTGAAAAGTCAAGACAGCTATTACAAGGGTCCTTTTGATTTTGATTAACATGTCTACATTTTTGTAAAAATGTTGAAATTACATTTAATTTAGCTTTGATCATGTATTTAATAATAGAATTTGGTAAAATAAGTATTCAGTAAAGATGGCTACCAAATTTTGATTTATTGGACTAGAGATTAAGGAAAAAGATTATTTAAACTTTTCTCATATGACACGTTGTATTGCAGGTACATGTAAATATACTGTAAGAGATTAAAGATGTTGATTAAAATAGGAAGTTTCAAAGTTTAGTAATGTTTGAAAATAAGTAGTAAAATTGTCTCTTAGCTTGTGAGCAAAAAATTTTTATATTATGCTTTAAATTGTTTGAGAAACCTTAAAAATTTACCAGTTAAACTGATGTGGAAATCTGTATATCTCATACAGTATTAGAGATAAACAATAGTATTTCAATAACAAACTTGAACTCTATTAATAATGCTCTTAAGTGAGAAATTACATTTACATTTCTTTCTTTTCTCAGGACAGACAGTGATTAATGTTTTACTTGATTGAATAATACCGATGTACCTGAAGGTCTTTCTACAGTAAATGTAAATTTTGTTTATTTGAGAAGTTAAGTATATTGTAGAATAATGTGGTGCACTAGCAAGTTTTCTGAATCTTAACTTAGATATTTTATGTATTGTTGTTATTAATCACTAAAATATCTTCTTATTAATTAAATAATAACATTACAAATTTTCCAACTTTTTTTAGATATTGAAAGGACTGACACCTCTTAAAGGCAGACCAGGGGAGAGTCTTGCTTCATTGGATTTTGACAAGTTAAAAGCTGATCTTTTAGAAAAGCATAATATCAGAATCAGAAATACAGATGTCATGAGTGCTGCGATGTATCCTAAAGTCTGTGATGATTTTCTTACCTTCAAAAGTGAATATGGACCAGTTGACTTGCTAGCCACACGCATTTTTCTTGTGGGTCCCAAAGTCGCTGAGGAGTTTGATGTAAGAATTTCATAATTATAAAAGTACCATGTGTATTTGACTGATTCATTTTAATGTTTTTCTGCAAAATGTTCTTGGAGAAGATTACCTTTATTCCTTATTTTGTGGCTTTTTAAGGAAATGTTTAGGAATATTACATTTGCTGGAATGTTACTTAAGTATATGAACATAGCTGTAATATGCTGTAAGAATAGAATTGCCCTTCTACTTTAGTCATCATTCTACCTTTAGAAACTAACATAGTTTTAGTAGTACCTTGTCCATTTTGTTAAATTTAATTTAAATTTAAAAGAAATTTTAACTGGCTTTCTGCATATATTTTTTTTGTGTGTGTGTGTGCAATTGAACAAGTATGTATCCCAAGGTATGGATAAAATCAGTTTTGACAGAGAATATATTCTGTCAAGCCTGATTTTTAATGAACTTTGGAAAATGTAAGAATATTCTGAAAAACAGATATTCAAAACATAGATGCAAATTTTTTCAATATTTTCATAGCTAACCAGTATTTACACATGTACATAATTACACACATATTTCAGTTAGTATATTACTAATTTTGAAGAACAATGAGAAGTTCCAAGTTATTGGATGTAATTAGTAGGTTTATATTTAAAAACTTCCTGAATTAATCAGACTTCATTTGATAATTATTTTCAATTATTTTTTGGAAATAATTTGGCTAGATTTTGACCAGAATTTTAATCTGCTATAACGGTAATCTTCCATGTTTAATAGAACGTATAAATAGTTTATTCCATTTTTAAGTCTTCATGAATGCTGCTTCTTATTACTAATTCTAAAATTTTGAGCTAACTAATCCCCTAGACAGCAAGATTTCATTTTAAAATAAACCCTCATTTTTGAATGTACTGTAGGATTGTGCATATATTTATATTGTTCATTAGAATATTTAAATATTAATATGAAATGCACCAAGGTTTTACTGCAGGTTTTCAAGACAGTGTAAACTTGCATGTATTAAGAAATAATCTGAATCTGTTATTCTATTTGTCATATGTTTATTTAAAAAATAATAATAATAATATTGACCTAAAAACCTCCATCTTGCCAATATTTTAAAATTTGAAAGCATGCTTCTACAAAGAACACTAGCCCTACTATTATGGATGTCAAGACATACAAAGAAAAGTCCCATTCTCTTCGTTCTAACTGCCATGAAGGAACATTATATTTATAGATTTGGTTTCTTTTTACATAGTAAACTATTCAAAATATTTGACAAATTTATATCCTTATGTAATTCTATTGCTAGTTATGTGAACTGCTTTCTTTGTCAGAGGTTTATACATCCTTAAAACGTAAGAAATTTATTTACTTGGTAGAATAGCTTCAAAACAGCCTTCCCAAGATTGACCATGTGATCTGGTAGTATGAATCATTTTTATAGTGGTGTATTAAAGTTAAAATTTGTGGGATATTTTTCTTAAAAAATTTTAGACTGACTCAGTTTTGAGAAACTTTTTAATACTAATGTTATATAAAGATCTATTATGTTCAAAAAAAAAAAAAAAAAAAAGTAAAATAACTATTATTTACTTATATTACTAACCAAAACTAACTAGCACAATTAAGTTAGTCGTGAGACGTACGACCGAACGGACGACACGAAGGGAAGGTAGGAG